ATCTGTATCACGTGACCAGTTTTGATCGCTGGGTCGCGAGCGACTGCAACGACCAGGTCGTCTTGGTCGCAGCGACCATCGACGATCATGAGAACGAAGGTTCTATATAAGACTGGCATGTCTGCCATTAGATAGGAGCTTCGTGCTCAACTTAGTTATCAATCTTATCATATTAGTTTGACATCTTTGATACAAGTAACGAGTTCACTTCCAAGTGAACAACCCGATAGTCTTCTTCTTATCATAGCATACCAACCAGCGAACACCCAGCCAAGTTTAGTTAGCCAGTTTGAGTATTCGTTACAGCTTGGTGTGGGGTAGGTTTTGGGGGTAACGTGGGGAAATTCGGCCTTAGCAGTAAAAAAATCAAGAGCAATAAGAAAATTATAAGCACAGGTGACAGGAGTTGAAAAATATGCTCATATATGATTACACGATTTGGATACCTTGCCTTCAGGAATTTGCACAAATTTACTATTATTATCCCTGCCCTGGCTAGTATACTGTTTTCTTTCTAAAGACCTTATTAGGTATAGAGGTATTTAGCTCCTATTATGTACTGATAGTATTTAGTTAAAGACTAATTAATTAGCTAGATACTAGCTTGCTCGTAGGTTGTCTTTTATAGGAGTAATAGGGCGACTAACGGGACTAATTGAAACACTAATTGGATTAAACTATATTTTTAACTATAAATGCCTACGTATAAGAATATAGTGACCTAGCTACCTTAGAACCTAGTTAATTCGCTTAGCTCTCTAAGAACTTTCAAAGTTATAAATAACTTCCATATCCCCTCCTTACTTCTTCCTTGTTAGGCTCTCGAGTTAGGTGTTCTATAGCTTAGTCGCGAGGTAGTATTATAACCCTAGATTTTCCTAAGATATCTTTATCCTATACTTTTTAAATTATATCGATATTTGTACAGGTAAAGAGGCTATATAAGGTGTGAAAGCAATCTTTTTAGGGGAAAGACAGTGAGGTGTCGTAAATCCCTGATTTCAGGGTATCTAAATTATATAATCTATCAATCTACGAGTGATGGTAGTGTTATGGTTTTCATTCATTTGAATAGGCGAGATCAAGGAGGTTGTTTTAATTTGGTTCTTGCATAGTACTCGTTTTAGACGCCTTTTTGAGAGTTCAATAACCAACGCGCTCTGTGTGATTATTTATAGGAGCTTTATACTCTTGAAATTTACAAAGAAGTTAAGGCGAATTTTATGGAGCTTCTAGCAAAAATTTGTTTCTGGGGTGCATGTGTGGTGAACCACAAGGCTCATAGTCTGGCTGAACGCCACAAGCCTAGTATTTGATGTAATTGGAAGAGAATAAGTAAACACAAACAGGCTGATGCTTGTTTTTCAGTTCTTTCTCCTCCAATATGAGAATGGTTTTAATTGAATCCGCTTTGTGTCGCAGAGGAAGATTCAGGTAGAGACAGTTTTGGTGTAACTAAGTTGGATAATACAAGGGCATAGCAGGTACTGCAAGGCACAAATGCGTAACAAGAAAAGGTGCAGAAGCAGGTTCTATTAAGTGGTATGTTCCCCAGTGGGTGTGACCGTTTGTGGCACACCCTATTTCACTCCAAAAATAATGTTCATGTGCTAAAACAGGGTCTCTATACAAATAGCGATTAGATATGTGCTATGGTAACCCCGGATTTGCCGGTTTGACCAATTAGACTATTACAATCGCCGTACAATAGATTTACGGAGTACCATTATAGACGTCACAAATACGGTAATCCATTCCATAATAACCTTTTGTTATAGCTTGTTACGGTGTGGAACGAGTAGGGTGGTAGGTGTGGAATGAGGAATAGAATATAGCAAGTAAACACTACAACACTATACAAATCTATATAAAGGTCTGTGTTCCCTACCCCTTGTTTCTTCCCTACCACCACTGTCCTTACCATTACTACGCTACCGACCCGGCCCTATCGCTATCTAGCGTCAAAGAAGGGGAAAGTCTCTCTCGCTAAAGCTATATAAGTCGAGAACAACAGAGCCCCTGTTACCGCTAAACAGAGAAAGAACGGAGGCGTAGGAGGGGGGTAGGTGACGTAGGGGGTACAGACGCTGGGGAGAGGTGGAGCGAGAGTTAGTGCTATACGTGAACAAAAGGCGAAATAATCGTATCCAGGAATGACCTTATATTTTGCTTGTTTAGGTCGTAGAGTTTGTACTTTAATTTTGAGGGTACTTTATTTACTTTCTTAGGCGAGGGCAAGGGGTATACTTTAATTGAAAACCAACTTTATCTATTAATATCAGTAACAAATAATTCGTATCCTAGAAGTGATCAAATAATACCGTCTAATCTACTATGCGTACTGATTAAGGAATCACTGGTAGCGTTGATCAATTCGTTGATTTGAGGGTTATAATAGCACAGATAGCTACAAATCTTACCTTGCTAAGTTTATTATAACTTGGGGGTTTACAAACTTAAGCTGTGCTGTAAAATTCATCAAAGTGATAATCGTTTGGTTTAGGTATAAATATAAAGACCAGCCCACAAACGCTTGCACCGCCTGGTGTTCTGTCTATTGTGTTGAATCCAGGCACATATATAGGTAGCGCTGTGTTATCACGTGATTCAACAAACATCTTCAGACAAACAGGAAAGATTTACTGCTCTTGAGCCCAGTTGAAGTAAGAAACTAGCGTATTTTGATAAATCTAGCAAGCAAACTACCTGTTTTGAGAAAGTGGGTTGAAAATGATATAATACTTTTATCTAACCCAAGTGGAAGCGTGATAAAAGAAAGAAGGTACGACGCCACTGTTATTTCATTCGCTACCCCTTCGCTAAGCCCCATCCTCAAGTTCAACTTCAATCAAACTCTCAGCAACACCCTCATACTTCCAAATAGCTTTCACTTTAAGCCCAGCCTTCCCAACCAGAGCTCTCCACTGTTCTTCAGTCCTCTCTTTCATGGCACCTAAGATCAACATCAACTGATCCATACTCGTACTCGCTAAGCTGGCCTCCACGCCCGAAACCACAATCTCATTAATCAATACTCTCGAATATCCCTTCTTCAAAGCAGGTATCAGGTTCTGAAGAATCCGAGCACAATCCTCATCACCCCAATCATGGAGAACGGAATGAAGATAGTAAGCTCGTGCGTGGAGTACCGGTTGAGGGGTGAAAAAATCATGTGACATCGATTTGAAACCATCGGTGGTGGGGAGCGAAGTGATTACTTCCTCTCTATCTTGAAGAATCAACTCTCCTACCAGTTTATCTCCATGTTTTTGCTTCAACTCGACTAAGTCATGACCAAGCCCACCACCTACATCAACTAGTAAGATCTTTTCCTCGGGTTGGAAACCGGTAGTGAGGTTGTCAATAGGGTAGAAACCTGGATCACACCAGTTTGCTTTTCCCGCTCTGTAGGCTGCCATGTAGTTATTGAAGATGGAAAGGTAAGGGGGGTTCTGATCAAGCCAAGCGAAAAATGGGAGATTGGTCTTGTGTGCATGTTGAAATGGGCCATTTGTTAGCTCAGTGGGGTTTTTATAATTTGTGCTTTTGAGATATGAGGGTAGAGAAGCAAATGATGGACCGGCAACATCGTAGCTATGCTCGTGTCAGTTGTTTCCCCCATACTGAAACTACTACAACTGATACGCACGTGTAGATGATTCCATCTTTAAACTTTGGCTCCACAAATGCATTGCTCAAAGGAGTCGAGGCATAGGTATCTGCTCCCTTCTCTTTGATCACATGCATTGCTGAAAGATGTTTCAACATTCTCGCTGCAATGCTTTCCCGTCAGTCTTGTAACTTCTTGATCAGAAAGCGCTGATCGCTGGTTGTTTTACCAAGGAGAGAACCTTCCACTCTTGAGCTCTCGGCGAGAGAGGTCGTGCTTGCGCCATCTTCTCCGGCTTTCTTCAAAAGTTCGAAGATACCGAGTTCAACACCGATACGGCAATGTGCATTTCGTGCTGGCTAGAAGGTCGACGTATTAGCGATGCGGACCTATCTCTCGAAAGACCGTGTGAAAAGATGTGGTAGAAACATTGTCCGGCGGATCCGGATTTTCTTCAGTTGTGCTGAAAAAGGCAGCTTGAAAAGGCGAAACGTACCTCAGCCCATCCAATTCGCTGGATAGCCTCAGAAGGTAATTCCAAAGTCGTAATGAGCTTGTGGCTGAGACTTATGAGACTCTCTCTCGCTCCGGGTTTGTTTCCTTCTAATAATTTTGCAACATCCGAAATGTTGCTCAGTATACTGGACACCTCAGGTGAAAGAGAAGACATGTTGACAGCACTAAAGTGTTCGTTAAAGAATATTAGAATATATCGCCGTCTGTTTTAGATAAGGAATGGCTGGATCAAAGCTAAGAGTTGTTATAGTCTGCTCAGACGGACGGGAAGATCAACATTCAAGTAGTATGAAAGAGAGAGTCGGATCACGTCATCATACTTCGTCTTAGGCATAATGATTGTTAATTCTCTAGAGTAGCTTCAGTAGAGTACAGGGTAAAAACCCCCGCAAAACTCACAAGTATTATGCCTGGGACGAAGTACTCATATTACTTTCAATTCGTCCTAGTGGTATTATGTCATTAGTGAAGGGTGAAAGCACAGGAAGAGAACCGGATTTTCAAAATTATCTGATATATTTCGACACGCATCCATCGCGCCAAGTGCCCGGGGTCCTTGTTTTAGCGATATTATACTCGCTCAATTTCCTCCAGTTTCTGCTTCCTCTCAGAAGAAAGGGCGTCCGAGTCTACCGGAGATGCTTCTCTCTTCCGAGGTCATAATCTCCATTCTCTCCTAGGATACTCCCGTGAGCAATAGCCGAAAGTCAACTGAAGTTGAAGAACTCTCCAGGATACCCGTGCATCGCTTAGTGAACGTCAATCAAAGTTCACATCTTCAATACTCGTACGACTCCACAGTTCTCTCTACGAAGTAGCTGCATAATCCTCTTGCATATGTGGTTGACAGAACCCTGGTCAAAGGGTTTATGGTCAAGCAACGGGAGCGAAAGTGATCATCTGAATCAGAGGCTCCCAGCACAAAAACGAGTTTCTTTGGTACTGGGAGCGGAAGGCGGATCGTCTCCACATGCTTGCACATGACTTCAGATAGCAAATTTGACGTGTCAGGCTATAGGGTACTGCTGCAGTTGGTCCACTTATGCTGTGCTCTGACACAAGAGTCACATCATCGAGCGAATAAAGCCGTTGAGAAAAAATCCAAGACCATTATGAAAACCTAAGCACCTTCTGCTTTAGTCGTGGTCCAGGTCAGATTCGCACAATTAAAGTTATACGTCAAAAAATGAAGGGAAGTCTAAAAACTGGAACCATTACTGATTTCCTCCGTTCTTTTTACAAGGGTATATCACATTGAGGCTCTGCTCATACATTTTTGGGGCCAGAGAGAGGTGCACGTCCTGCGGGGTGAGTATCATCTTGGCGGGAAACACCATCTAGCTGGGTCTTCCTTGTAAGGACATGCACAATTACATGAGAAGTCAGCTGGGCATCACACGTTGACCTTACTTATGTTCGAATCGTTCAAGTAAAGGGTTCGGACAGCTCGGGTTCCACTCTCTCAGTTTCTGATATCTCTCTACATGATTGAACAATTCGCTTGGCTTAAAAGGCTATATTGTAGGGTTATACCCGGCCTATAAGTCGTATACAGGGGAGGGACAGACGCGAGCTGTCCAGAGTCCACTCTTTACTACCGTACCGCGCCCCACGAGTGTTGTCTAATATGGCCCTTACTCACAGTCTTGTCTTGTATGGTTGTACCGAGTAGGATCAATAAGGGTCCAGTCCGTCAATGAAGCTGGTTATATTGTCGAACGCTGAAGCCTTTAGTTGTGATAAACAGTTGCCATGTTTTACGTAAAACACTTGTATTACTACCGTACTGTGCCTCATGAGTGCCGTGTATTATGGCCCTTACTGATTGTCCCGTCTTGTACGGTTGTACCCGAGTAGGATCAATAAGAATCATGCACGTCAGTGGAGATGGGTCTGTCGTCGAACGCGGGAGCTTGTATTTATGATGAACAATTGCCATATTTTACGTACAACACTCGTAAATCGGAGCTCTGGACCTTTTAAATCATGCAGGTCGCCATTGAGAGGGGGACCGCATATCTCCTGCCAAGGAACCCTGTTTGGAGCCCCGGTTTTTGAGTGACGAGAGTGCAGCTTTGCCATCTCAAACCGATTTGGAATCCGGCCATTTAATCATGGTTGTCTCAGATTTCTTGATTATCCAAACTTTAGCTAAATTATGAGCTCCACGCTTATGTGAAGTATTAATTAATCCATCAATTAAGTCCAGGTGTTTAACCTGTAGGAGCTTACAATGCATCACGATATTTTTGGTCAACGACGGCCAACAAGATGCGGACTTGTGGACAGTCTATTCAGCAACCGTTCGGAAGACAAGGAATAAGTAGAGAACGATAGAAGAAAGAGCACAGAAATCAAGACGACTGCTTGGGGTATAAAGGGTATATGCATTTACTAAGCGTTTCCAAACATCATCCAACATGTATTCGTATCATTTGCCCATTGGACGTTACCAACCAAAGAGAGCCTCCTCCCTCTTCCCACCACCATGTTCCTTCCCCTAAAAAGCTATTTACAAAATTGGTTTTTGTTACAACACAGTTAATACAACAATAACAAATTACAAAAGAATTCAAACCATAGATTTGCTAGTTCTCTCGTTCTTGAAACTTGCCGCATAATCCATGTTTTCCCTTGTAGTTGAGTCCATCGAGAACTGAGTAGTGCGAAGTATTTGAAGATGCGACTCGGCATTCTGGCGTGGCTCGTTTTGGAGTTCGATGTCGGGAAGATCCTTCGTGTCGAGCCCCTCGCTGTGGCTTTGGGATACGCTGGACTTCTCCTTTCTCCCCCACGAACCGTTTGATCCGAAGCTGTACTTGTTCTTGCTCCCGATCTTGAAAAATGAGCCACTCCAGAAAAATGAACGCCCTTCGGTTACATCTGAGTGCTTGAAGAATTTGTGGAAGAATGGACGAAGTGTCGGGATGCAGGCGGCGATGATGATGACGTTCGCTTCGACACTGAATTGAAGTTAGCTTTATGTTCTCCTTCAAGTTTGAGAGATGGGAGTGTCGAAAATTGCTTACATTGCCCAAATCACAAGGTCCACTGTTGCATATGTGAAGTCATTCAACTGCTCAAGGGAGCCGAGGTGAGATGTCTTGATTGCGGCGCAGATGGCAGCAAATAACGTGCATCCCATCATAAGACACAATCCAGTCTTCGTTCGCATGTCCAATTTCAATTTCCAGAAAGCCACCATTGGAACCACCCCGAGTATAATATCCGTTGCCGCGGCATACGCTACGAGTACATCAGCTTGTCACTTATCAATGACCAATCGATTATAACTTACATCCGACAAAGTAGGAATAACCAGAAACTACTCCAGGTGCTAGACAAGTTGGGTTCAATGCTGGATCAGGATTCCAGATGAACTCGGAAGGCAAACATTGGACGAACAGAATAACACACGAGACCGCGGCTGATAGAACTTGCGTTATGACCAAAAAATACAACAGAATGGAGCGGATTTTGTTGGGTGCGAGAATCCGATTGATAAGAATGGCGACTGAAATGTTGGGGAAAGAATACGCCATGATCCCAAACGGATTCGCTATAAGATTTACTTTGACAGCATGGCTAACTTGGGCGATGGGTAGCGCTGCGGCATGCTTCCCCATGCCTAATTTTACATCGTACGTAAAGACACTGGTGCAAATAATGATAGATACCTGTGAATAAATTAGTGGTTGGCTAGTGAGATGTATGGGGAGGTACCCACAGCCGAAACGAATATAAAGAAGTCATCAATGGCAAGAGCATTAAGAATGCTTGCACGAGTGAAGAGTTTGAGGCTGACAACAATGACCGTTAGGATTGTGAATATCCAAGAGATGACCAGGATATCAGGGCCTCTACTCTCTGTTAGATCTAGAGCAACCTGCTGAACTGTAGCCATCGTGTGTATGTGTCAGTGGCAGAAATGAAGATGATGTAATGAAACTATGACTATCCGTGGTAGATAAATAAGATTCTTATGAAATATCCCCCAACAATGCAGATCTGGTTCAGAGCGATCATGATTCATATAAGCCCATGAGAGCAGCATTGTACCTGTAACTCGGGTAAAGTCTACATGCAACCTCGCACGTTTAACACACTAGTTTCTCCACATTTTCCCCAGTAATCTGATTTTCGTCACAGGAAACTTTACTTGGGATCTTATTCAAGGCTCCCACACTTTTGCGCGTCCGTGACACATGCCATTGATAAGAATACATATTGGTTAAGGTAGTATCCGAGCGTCAACAAGGCTCTGCTAGGTCTTGGGGGTTCCCACTTTGCGACTTTGGTCACTTCGCGCAACCTCCTCTCTTTATGAACTATTGACTAAGCTTCCGCCAGGAACTTGACCAGGGGCTTTCACAGGTTGCTATTGCCGCTATCTCCGTTTCATTAATCGTCATCTATACGAACGCCCAAGCTATATTCAACGATTTCGACGGTTGAGTTTTTAAGCTATTTCACGGCACTCTGAGTGCCGTAAAATGTGATATATCAGAATCATAAACAAGTCTATTCAAACCACCTATTATTCAATTCTATACCCTCCTCGAACACAATCGACAAGTCGGATCAACTATTATAAACATCCGAGGCCGAGCCCACAATTCCGGACTCGGAGGCATTGAATTTATTGGGCGAAGACGCTATCAGTAGTCACTTGCATTAAGCTTGAGAAGAACTTGGAAAAAAAGCCCCGAAAACCTCGATCCAGAGGGTCAGATACTGTTTGAAGGTGGAGTGATTAATGTAAACAAATCTTCGCTAAATCTCATGCAGGTAGTTAGTTAAGTATCACTGGCGTTTTACTCTTCGGTACGTTCCGGTATTATGGAGCAATGAGGGTTTTCCGATCTGGATACAGCTCTACGTCTGGCACGATCTCGACTGCGGTCCTATGCCAAGGAGCAAATGGTAACAAACTCACTCGTAAAACACTCGTTAATCCTGTGACAATCGGTTGATTTCGCATCTTGAGTAATCTTGCGCGAAACCGCCCGAATTTCCGTGGAAACAGCGGATATAAATTAAAAAGCGTGCAGAATAACATTTCTTGTAGCTTACGTGCACTTCTAGCAGTAAAATGAGCTTAACAATAGGCTGGAAAGGGGTTAGAGAGAATTTAAGGTCAGAATAGCATTCTGCTCGCCCTCTTGTACTTGAGTTATGAAATACTTGTACTAGCCCTATCGAGGTAATACTTCGTCCCAGGGGAAATAAATGTAGGTTTGCTAGGGTGGCTAAGGTTGGTAACAGGGTAAAAACCCCTGAAACCCCTACAGTTATTTCGCCTGGCGGCCTGGGACGAAGTATTCCTACTTACTTCGTACTCTAGCCTTTGAGAAGCTTGTTAGAAACCTTTGGCTTCTATTAGCTGGAGAAACTGCGGAGTGGGTTAATGCCCCTGCTAGCGCGTTTTAGCATAGTGAAAAAACAATCAAGAGCTTTTTCTTGTAATAAGCAAATATCCTAACGAGGTGCCATTATACAAAATTCTTGACAACCCAACTAAGGCGCCAAAGTGACCCGAAGAATCGGGGAAATTTCCGCCACCTCGTCCACTTGTCTTGTGCTCTGATTTCTCTTTGTACTTTGCTCCATAAGTATCTTGGGTTTTTGCACTGCCGGTTCAAAACGCTTAACTACGAAGTATATGTAGTCTTACCCTCTTTGACCCCATCATTTTACAACCTCGCAAGCTTATCCCTCTCTTACCTGTCAAATTCCTGTATGTGCTTTCCAGTACCTGGACAAGAAAGAGGGGTCCTCCTTGACAGCTGACAACCGATTATCGATAAGTCATGGATAAGCAAGGCGGGGAAACTGAAACCATCCATCTAGATTGAAAATGGGGATTGGGAGCGGTCGATGTGACCCCCAGAGATCTTCCCGAGCCTTATCATACTTCGTACCCAAAAAACGAAAACAGGCGCTACCGAAAACGATTCTTGTCATTCGCTTGGCGTACTGTCAAGGGTTTACCTGGTAAAACGCCGGTGGACCGCCTTTTGTGCAAGATGGTCTTGGAATATTGGGCCCATGGTAAGTACGAGCGGCAAATGCAATTGACAAGCACTTGGCAAATGGGGGTGGAGAGTGATAGCTCTGATGTGTTGTATGTGCAGAGTAAGACATTATATTTACACATAGCGGGGAACGAGATTATTGTCACAAGTGATGTCGCAGAGAAAGGACGCACCGACTATTAGTAGGCAGTTGCAATAAACATATTTGACTTGGACCTCAAGCCACATTTTTCAAAAGTAAATCCTCATGCACTTGTGAACTCAACTCAGAATGTTCCTTCAAAGAGTGCAGCAAATCATTTTACCTGACAAACTCAAAACTTTCATTATGACTTACTACATCTTCGCTTTACTTGTTCTGATTATTATTTCAAAAGGTCTCTATAACAGATATCTGCATCCATTAAGAAATTTTCCAGGTCCTTTCTGGGGAGGTGTTAGCGATTTTTATCTTGTTTATATGATTGCATCTGTCCCTACTTATGGCCTCGATCTCCACGCACAATACGGTAGGCAAAGTGTCTCTGGGAATTCGAATTCTACTAACCGGACTTTTTTGCAGGTCCTGTGGTCCGACTTTCACCAAATTTACTATCCTTTTGCGATCCTAAACTTCTACCGGTCGTCTACCACAGATATGCGGATAAACCCCAGTTCTATGGTTCGTGGATGTTTGGACATACAGAGGCTATGTTTCAGTCCCTCAAGCATCAAGATCACTATGCGAAAAAGAAGCTCGTTGCTCCATCTTGCTCCATGACTGCCATGAAGCAATTCCACGAAAGAAAAATCAGTGAACGCGTCGTTGAACTCTGCGAGTGCATGGGGGAAAGAGCAGCAAATAACGGATCAATTGACTTCTCAGAACATCTCAGGTACTTACAGATCTCAACCCATACAACCGATAGAAGTGCGTTAGCTAACTCAATGAAGATGGTTTCTTAGCGATACCTGGAGTCATCTTGTGTATGGTCAACCATTAGGCTGGGTCAAGAAAGGTGCGGATATCAAAGGCCTCATCGATTCTCTTACCGGTGTATACGGATTATCTGCTTCTGCAGCTGTCATGCCATGGTTAATGCCGCTGTTCCGCCATCCATTCCTGAGAAAGCATGTTTGGTGCTATACCAACACTTTCAAGAATATGGCCAATCTATATTCTGTAAGTCCATGATTCTGAACGCAACTGTAGAAAGCATGACTGACTTTTGCTTAGCATTTCGATGAGATGATTGACAACCGAAACGCTCTTGTAAAAAAAGACGGAGAGAGATTATTCTTCGATGGGTACGCCTTCTCTGGCCACTTCCTGATTTAAAGGACAAACACTAACACTTTCTCCCCAGACTTGAACCTAGCCTCAATCCCAATGAATACCAATATACCCGCAACGACCTCAAAGCCGAAATCATAACCTTCACAGCCGCGACCCTCGACGGCGCCGCTGCCGCAATCTCCCCCTTCATCGACAACATGCTCCAACACCCCGAACACTTCGCCCGTGTAGTCGCCGAAATCGAGACCGCAGACCGTGCAGGAAAACTCTCCAGTCCCTGCGTAACATACGAGGAGACACTCGAACTTCCCTTCTTCATGGCCTGTATCAAGGAGACTCTTCGCAGGGACTCCCCTGCCCAGACTATTCTCCCAAGAATTGTGTCTTCGCCTGGTTACGACCTACCGAACGGGATGTACATCCCACCCGGCGCGCATATGGGCGCGAGTCCTTTTATTATCCACCGCTCTGCCGAAATATTCGGCGCTAACCCCGATTGTTTCGTTCCTTCGCGATGGATCATTGGGGAGGGCAGGGATGTTACGGAAGCGAGTATTAAGCGTATGGAGAAATATGGTATGTGGTGGGGATACGGGGATCGTGAGTGTGCGGGGAAATACTATGCAGTTATGGAGTTTCAAAAGCTTGTTGTTGAGATGTTGAGGAGATTTGATATCAAGTCTGCGGTGGCAGAGGGTGAGGATAGATTTTTGCACAAGAGGTGGGCTGTGGGTATGTTTTGGGGACAGATGCTTTCGCTTAAGCAGAAGGAGTTTGGGGAGAAACTGGTTCATTGAGTTCTTTTTCTTTTGTTTCTAGGGAGGCGTTTAAGGACCGTCGGCTTTTAGACTTTTTTTAGGAATCATTCTTGGACATAATATTATATTTTAGCTTTCTATGATAACTGCTCGGTGATAACTAAGCACATTGTCTTTTATCGTTCTCATCGCATCGTATCAGAAGAAGCAAGTCACATGACCCGCCCCCCTCTTTTTGTACCCCTACCCCATCCCCATATCCCAAACATCTTCTTCTCTCCTCTACCACAAAATCTCTCACTTTACTACACAGCCTACTCTCTTCCTTGAGTGATGTTTTTCGTTTTCCAGCCCAACGTAATTACCATCATCTGACTCCAAAAGTTTCATTCATACCGGAAACGACGGAAATGAGGAGTGCGACAACATCTACACTGCCACATACGACCATAGACTGAGGAGAATTGGGCATCCCGTCCGCTCTGCCATACACAAGCCTCAGATCGGCAGATTAGTAGTTGGGTGGGTGACCACCAGCGAATACCTACTGTTGTATGTTGTTTTTACTTTTTTTTAGACATTTTTTATATATCTGCTATATCAAGGAGACGACTTGAATTTTGTCGTTTCAAGGCTAGGATACTTCGATTCTATTACGTAGCTACTAGGTACTAACTTACTAACGCGGAACCACGGCTCGAGCTATCGAAGACTCCCGAGGTCTCTACCGGCATTAACATCCTTAAGTAAAGTTAAACCTCCTTTCAATTCTACCTTGATTATTGTCTGCGTATCTGCCGATTGTCTTAGGCCGGAAAGTAAATTAATTTTCCGCAATACCTGTAAGATCCAACCACCTAGCAAAGGTATCTGACCATCGCTCGAATTTCTATGAACCTATTAACCTTATTACCTCGTCCCAGGCGAAATAATTGTAGGTTTTTCAGGGGTTTGTTCACTGTTGCCAACCTTAGCCACCCTAGCAAACCTACAGGTACAATTATTTCGCCTCGGACGAAGTATACCGGTTGTCCTAGGCGGGGAGGTACCTCAACTTCCGCAAACTTGTAAGATCCAACTACCTAGCAAAGGTACCTGACCATCGCTCAAATTCCTATAAACCCATTAACCTTACTATGCCGGTTGTCCTAGGACGGGGAAGTAACTCATAACTCACAGAAAACCTAACCGTCGCTCACATTTCCATAAACCTATTAACCTTACTATATTGATTGTCCCAGGCAAATAATATAAGATAACTAATTATATTAAATAAATATTGGCTCCAACCGACCCGAAGGACGGCTGCAAACTGCTTATTTCCACTACAAATACACCCCTTGATTCCAGGTTCCATCCACCCACTTACGCGGGGACGTAACTTAATTTTCCATCTACCTGTAACTTTCTCCTGGCTAGCAAAGCTACCTGCCCATCACTGAAATTTCCATAAACCTACTTTTTAGCACCGCCACTCCGGTTGTCCCGGGCGGGGAGGCAATTTAATCCTCCGGTATGCAACTTTAAAAGTGCATACGATGGCATAATTTGTTTGCCTAGACATTGGGTACAAAGAGGTGCGAGAATTATAATATCTAACGTCCACATAAGTAAGTCATCAGATTTCTTATTTATTTCCTCGTAATCTAATTTTACTATCTATACTACCTCATATACCGCCATCTATAAAGTATATTTGCTGAGAATAAGACTAACCATTTGGTTTTTTTTTCGAATGATTCTCTTAATTGTAATTTGAGAATGTAGTTTCGTAAGACTAGAATTTCCCCCCGTTTAACTTCGCGAAATCGGCGCCAGTTTCGAGACTAGTCAACCCGTATCCAGGATGATTTCACGAAGCATAACTAGCATATTCCTTATTGAAGGCCTAATCAAGTTAGCCAGGAACAAGAAATATCATGACGTTATCACGCTGAAGGGGAAACTCACTCTTCCCAGGACCATTCTTCGCACCTCGCTTGTTCCCGCCCCAATCTCGTATAACTTCGCGCTAATCAGGATTAGTCACGGTCCTCACTTCAAGAGTAGATGGGAGGAGGAAACTTACTCTCTCAGCAATCGAGAAGCAGGCATTTCCTCTACGTATCCCATGCCTCCGAGTAACTGTATACAGTCTAATGTACACTCCGTCGCCCTCTCGGCTGCATACAGAATTGCGCCTGCACAATCTTGTGTTTTGATTTCGCCTATCTCATCAACTTTTCTTGCAGTCTCGTATGTGTAAGCTCGGGAGGCTTGGAGCTTCGTGTACATATCTGCTAACTTCCCTTGAATTAATTGGTTATGAGCGATAGGAATACCGAATTGTTTCCTTTGATGGGTAAAAGGCAGGGCGACGTCGAGACATGCTTGCATGATTCCTAAAGGTCCAGCCGAAAGCACAAGTCGTTCAATATCAAGACCCTCCATCAGCACTGTGACTCCACGATTCAGCTCGCCAAGAATGTTTTCTTTCGGAACGAAAACATTATCAAAAACCAATTCGCCTGTGTTACTCCCCCGCATGCCCATCTTATCAAGTTTCCTTGCACAACTAAAACCCTCAAACTGCTTTTCAACAAGGAAAGCAGTAATTCCCTTGCTGCCAGCGTCCGGCTTCGTTTTGGCATAGACAACAATCACATCGGCATCGGGTCCATTCGTAATCCACATCTTGGTCCCATTAACCAAATACCCCCCATCAACCTCCTTTGCCGTCGTCCGCATAGACACAATGTCACTCCCCGCACCACTCTCACTCATCGCCAAAGCCCCAACCTTCGTCCCAGCAATCAAATCCGGCAAGAACTTCTGTTTCTGCGTTGATGAACCATTGAGTTGCAATTGGTTAACACATAGTTGTGAATGCGCCGCGTAACTCAATCCTATACTACCACTCGCGCGCGAGATCTCTTCCATTACTATGCAATGGGCTTGGTATCCCATGGCTAGACCCCCGACTTCTTCATCGACGGTGATTCCTAGGAGACCTGCGGACCCGAGTTTCTCCCACATGTGGTGAGGGAAGGTGTTGGATTTGTCGGTGTTAGAGGCGAGTTCGGGGGTTATTTCTCGGCGGGTGAATTCTTGAACGCGATCGCGGAGTTCTTGGAGGTCGGAGGGGGTAGGTGGTTCGAAATTCTTGGGGTGTTTTTTGAAGGAGGCATGGCGGTGGGTTGTGAGGGAGAGGGTTTTGGATATTGGTTTGAGGAGAGATGGTCGGGTGGAGGTGGTGAGGGAACGGAGGGCTTTTATGGAGGCCATGTTTGAGTGAGTGTATTGTATGATGTGTTTATTTGGAGTTTTCACGCATTGCTATGAGAGGAGAATAGAAATTGAAAAGTAAACGCAAATGTTTTTAAAGGGACTGGCAGTTTGACAGGAAGGCAAAGTCAAGCGGGAGATCACCGAGGCACTACATCCCCGCGTTTTGCAGGGATGGCAGGGATGACAAGCCCCGCGTTAAACCGTCTGTATGCGCGAAACCAAGCTCACCTCTACTCTGCCAATTCTTGTAACTGGCACATAGAAAGCCTCAATTGTTGCGCTGCAGCTGCAGCATCTCCTTCAATCTTTGCCATGTCGACCTTACGTATCTCTAGAGAAGCATTGAGGGCTTCAAGACTCATCGCAAAGTCCTACCCCTCCATACCCCACACCAAGCTCCCCTTCAGAACACCGTCCCGCTGTATCGCAACCCACAGCACACGCACTCAAGCCAATGCCATATCCGTCCTTCCCACGCTCGTCGATCCCTCGTCCGAGTTATACAAACAAAATGCCGCTCAAATCGGCGAGGTCATGGATCGCTTTGAAAAGTTGACTCAGAAGATCCAGCAAGGAGGGTCCGCGAAAGCTAGGGAAAAACACATAGCGAGGAATAAGATGCTGCCTCGAGATCGAGTTACCGCTTTGATTGATCCCGGAACTTCATTTTTGGAATTGTCTGCATTGGCGGGACATGAGGTGTATCCTGAGGCCGAGGTCCCAGCTGGGGGTATTATTACGGGAGTGGGTGTTATTGAGGGTGTTACTTGTATGATTGTTGCGAATGATTCTACGGTTAAGGGGGGAACTTATTTTCCTATCACGGTGAAGAAGCATTTGAGAGCGCAGGCTATCGCCAAGGAGAATAAATTGCCGTTAGTTGAGGCTTTTGTTTGGATTTCGAGGATTGAGTATATGGCTAACTGAAGTAGATGTGTTTATCTGGTTGATTCAGGAGGAGCCAACCTCCCACATCAAGCGGATGTTTTCCCGGATCGGGAGCATTTTGGAAGGATATTCTTCAATCAAGCTAGAATGAGTTCCGAGGGAATACCTCAGATATCTGTTGTTATGGGTCCTTGTACCGCTGGAGGTGCATATGTACCAGCCATGTCCGATGAAAGTATCATTGTTGATGGGCAAGGTCATATTTTTCTCGCTGGTCCACCTCTAGTGAAAGCAGCAACAGGAGAAGTAGTAAGCGCCGAAGACCTAGGGGGAGGAAAAATGCACACCTCCGTCTCAGGAGTCACAGATTATCTCGCAGTGGACGACGCCCACGCTCTAGTACTAGCCAGACGCTCAATAAGCAACCTCAACTGGCCGAAGAAAGCCTTTCCTCCACCAGAAACCTACTCGGAACCTCTCCATGATCCAGAAGAACTAATAGGAATCGCCACCACTAATCTCAGAAAACCACTTCCAATCCACGAAATCATCTCCCGAATCGTAGACGGCAGCGTCTTCTCCGAATTCAAACGCGATTATGGCACTACCCTCGTAACAGGCTTCGCCCACATCTACGGGCATAAGGTAGGAATAATAGCCAACAACGGGATCCTCTTCTCAACCTCCTCCCTCAAAGGAGCGCACTTCATAGAACTCTGCTGCCAACGTCAAATCCCGCTTATCTTCCTCCAAAACATCTCCGGCTTCATGGTCGGCACCGACGCCGAACGCGAAGGCATCGCGAAAAACGGCGCAAAATTGGTGACGGCAGTAGCGTGTGCGAATGTGCCCAAGTTCACGGTGGTGGTGGGTGCCAGTAATGGCGCCGGGAACTATGGGATGTGTGGACGGGCGTATAGTCCTAGGTTTTTGTGGATGTGGCCGAATGCGCGGATTGGGGTTATGGGGAGTGAACAATTGACTGCTGTTATGGAGACGGTGGGAAAGACGGTGGATCCGGAGTTGAAGGAGAGGATTGAGAGGGAGAGTGAGGCCGTTTTCTCATCAGCTAGGTTATGGGTATGTGTATCTTTTCTCCTTTTCATTATTCTCGTCTCTTCCTTAACCTCGCTTCTTGCCCCCTTTTTTTCCTATCACCCACAACCCACATCTCTCATCCTCACGGTAGACCTGAGATTCCTAGACTCATACTAACGTAACCCCCAGGACGACGGCGTGATACCACCCAGTCACACGAGAAGAGTCCTCGGTTTAGGATTACGAGCCGCATTGGGTGGGAAGAACGAACCTATCCCCACGAAATTCGGCGTTTTTAGGATGTAAAGTGTTTCTCGGGGTGGCGGGAGAGGTTTCAATATCTTAGAGCATACCTAGTATTACACTTGTAGAAAGGTCATTCACATGGACTTTTCTGTTCTTCATCATTGCTTTGATGTCCGTGACTAGGTAGTTCTTATGCATGAGATTTGGGGTTTGATTTCGAGGCGAGCTGTGTATGGAAGACTGGCTTTTGCTATGTGGGTGGGTATAATTTACAAAGGGTCTGGATAGCTCGCGTCACCCCCTCCCTTGATTACGACTTATATAGACAGGGTATAACTCTTTAATATAACCCTCTAAGCTAATTAGATTATCCGATTCATGTGGAGGTTTACTAGAAAGTAATAAAAAGGTGGGGGGGGGAGACGAGCTGTACAAACCCTGTATATATAGATCTTCTTTATTTTATCTATCTCCATCTAACTTCCGGCGAATATAAATAGCCTTCTATACTTTCCTCTAACAATCTAACTCTAATAAAAGACGCTAAGAGAGTACCCTAGGTTTCGAAGGGTTATAGATAAAAGAGAACTTGTAAAAGTACTAGATTAAATCGAAGTCCTACCTTCTAAATACCCCTTCTAAAATAGAAAATTTAGTATTTATATATTCGCTACTAACAACTCGCTAAAGAGCGAGCTAATAGTACACTATTAAAATCTATATAGGGAGAGAACTAGTATAATAATAATACTATAACTAAGTACTTAGCAAAGACTCTTTTATCCCCCTATTATATACCTTCTATCTACTAGGTACCTCTTTCCTATAAACTTAGTAGGAAATCTAGAGAGCCTTAGGAATTACCTATATATGATTAATGAGGGTATTCGAAGAGCCTTAGGTATGTCTCGGTTTAGGCTATAGCTAGCCCATCGTGTTTGTGATGAGGGCATCGAAGAGCCTCAAAATGTCGGTTCAAGGTCCAAGGAGCTATCGTGTTTCTACATTCAAAGCTGTGTCTTTGCCTTTCCCCGCTCTACAGTATTTTCCAAGCTGTGAATACCTATATATCTATACCCAACGCTATAGGTACGCTAAACACCGTACCTACATCTTCATCCCACATCTCCATCCCACATCTCCATCCACACTCCCCATCTCCATTTGACATTTATACTTACGCTCATACCCAACCAACATACACACCCAAGAAACCACTGTGAACACAAATTCAAACCACAAGGTATGAATAGAACATCCACATCCACATTCTTACCATCACATCACTTTTATATCAATTCCAGTGCAGTCCTGACACATTTCCCCTCTTTCAAACCTTTCATATAGCTCAGTCTCGGTCTCCAAATTTGTCCTAGGTATATTGAGGTGTATGAGCTATGAAAAACGTAATCTTACTTGGGGCCGTGGTACTGGAGACTATAGTATAACCTGGACTTTCTAATAATAGTAGATGATTGATTTATGTGAATCGCAAAGCGCACCACTGTGTTAACATATTTTTACTGTGACAACATAACAACATACACCAATCCCAGGGAAACATAGGTAACTTAACCACTTTCACGGCAATCACATCACATCACATCACCTCAACAACACAAATCAAGCACCTCCGTCTGAAAGAGGTCCATAAAATCTCAAAATCTCAAAATAAAATAGGGTATAAGCAATAGCAAATCCTCCCCCCTCCATACAACAACGAAACCCCCAACAAAGTAGTAAGTAGGTAGGTAGTAATCCAATCCAACCAAACCAATCATCGCATCCCATCTCATACCATTCCATCCCATCCCTCCGCTTTCGGATCTTCATTTCCCCTCCATGAACATAACATAACATGCGTGCCTTCCAATTTCCATCTCTCCCCAAATGTGTAAGTAGTAAACCCCATTCGCCTGCTTTGGCCAGGATCCCAAAAAAAAAAAGCAGTAACGTGATTCCCTCAAAAATAAAGGAGAAGAAAGTATAGCAAATAAAAAAAACACACAAACCAAACCCCCTGCCCTGATCCATAGTCCATATGTTGCTGTAAATAACATAATAAAAAAAAGGTATTTACCAAAAATGTCCGATTCCAAATTCCGGTTCCCAGAGATAATCCTCATCCACCACAACGCTTCACTTCTTGCGCCCCAAGCATGTCGATTGTATACAAGAAAAAAATATAAAAAAGAAAGAAAGAACGAAACAGAATCATGCATGTTGATTCTGCCACTTAACAAGTTGCCTCGTAAGAACATCCATCATCTCCAAACATGAAAGATCTTTGAACTCCTTTTTGGAGCTTTCATCGCCCTCGGTTATTGAATTCGCATTCCCATTCACTTTAGTATCCCCATTCGCTTTACTATCCCCATTAACTTTAATCATCGGCAGCCCATCTGCGATCCCCCGAATCGTTGTCTCCGCCGCTTCTGCGCTTCCCGGAGACATTGACTCGCCCGCCATCTCGACTTGTATTCGTGAGATGTAATCGAGTATTGCGGTGACTCGTTTCCTCATATCTCCTATTGAGATTTTACTATTGGCACTCTTGGATTTTGCTGATTTTCCCCCGCCTTCATTATGTGATCCTTTATTTCCAGAAGTCTGGGGTGTTTCATCTCCTCTCGGCACGTCCCTAGATTGTGATCTTTGAGGAGAATGGTTGTCTCCTTCTTGTAAGTCGCGGTCTTTGGTATACTGATTTTTACCCAGTTTTCCTTTCCGCGAGTTTGGTGGCCTGCCACCTTTTCTGTGTGACGTTGGTGGTTGTACTGCCGGTGGTGGAGTATCAGGAACTGGAGGCTCGAGAACTACTGGCGGTTCTATAGGTTCAGGGACAACTTCCGGTACTTTTGTTATGGTTGCCCGTACCGCAGCAAGTGGTATATCTTCCGAAGGTTCTGAATCTACGGTTTCAAAACGTAAGCGGGTGTCTTCTGGAACCAAAATTCTGCGCCTACCTTCAATCCTTCGTCGTTCAGCACGGCCTTTCCTCTTATTGGCCGCTTCTTGCCTCGACTTTTCACGCTCCTCCCTCATTTCCTTCTCTCTATGATTTCGAGCAGCAGCCCCTCTGATCTTCTTTGCACCGATTGGACGTCCATTGATACCATCGTCGGATTCCGCTTTGGGTGTCTGTTGCGGTTCTTGTACTGGCGAAGGGGACGGTGATAGCGTTCTCTGACGCTTGGGACCCTCTGGTTTCCTGTACAATTATTAGTGCCGAGTTCGACAAGTATGATTGGAACTGAATTGCGCTTACTCCTCGCTATCGCTACGGCCTCGTTTCTCCCGCCGTGTTGTCGTTACAACAGTTCCACCATCAGTACTTTCCCCGCTCTTCTCTCCTTTACTAGCCTCTATCGCTCGGCGCAATTGTTCCTCTTCATCATATGCGGCATCCCTACTATTCATTGTAGATCGCCGTTTTGCGCTCTGAAGGCTTGAAGAGGGGCGCCCGCTTTTGCTACCCCGTGGGGATTTGGTGCCATCTTTAGAAAAGGAGTTGGCTCGCGAGGTTGTCTGCGACAAGCTCTGGTACAAAGGAAGGTAATGGGAATAACGTTGCCTACGTCCCATCATATTAGCAGATTTTCCGGGTTTATTCTGATTGAAAATGGTGTTCATTGTGGCTATTTGGTGGGATTCATTGCAGACAGCCTTGTGAGACCCAATCTGCGCCACCTGCTCGCATGGGGCTGAAAGCGATCGGATTCTGAAGTTTATTTGGGATTCTCAAACCATTGAGAAAGGAACATACCCGTTTGGTGCTGCAAAGATCTTGTGCAAGTCCTTCCGACATTCTTCACAGAAATATTCGTCTGGGCTCATGTCTTCGTTCATGATTCCCACACAATATCCGTGCTGCCAGACTTTGCAAACGTCGCATTGCAGGAAAAACCCGGCACCGTCTTCTGTGATATCAGCGACTAAGATTATGGGCTCCTCAATGCCATCTTTTATGCCTTGCTTGCTATCTTCCTCCCCAAGTTGTGGTGGGCCTGGGTACTCGTCGAAGCCGCAAATGCAACGGACGGCCTCGTCGTCGTCGGCATTCTCTTCAATGCCATTCGTACTTTCTATTTGGGCTGTAGAAGGTTTGGCAGCCTTGTCTTTGTCGTCGCCACGACCGCGCTTCCGACGTGTTTGGACGGAGTCCTCAGCGGGGGTCGCGATGGCATCATCGGGAGGTTCTGACGATAACGAGCCCGAGGGCGTGGATTTGGTAGGAGAGTCGGCTTTGGGATTCGATCGTGTAGCTCGTTCGGCACGACCAGAGGAGTTTGAGGAGGCGGAGGAATGGTGTGGGTTCGTTTGTAGAGGTTGGCTCGACCGAGCGGCCCTTGATGAGCGCCGCGCAGTGTCCATCTTCGATCAGTGATTTTGTGTAGGTGATAATGATACAGTATTAGGAGGGGATCGTAGACACGTCTGCCAACAAATGCGCGTTGGCAGAGGCGGAATTGAGAGAATTCTCTCGTTGTGGACGGAGGCAACTTGGGGAGAAGCTCCAACCGGTCGTATTCGCCAATGGCGACGACGCTCCAGGACGAGGGAGCCAGAAGTCGAATTGGATGGTGGAAGAGCAGTGGAAGTGCTAGAGCAGAGACAGGTAATCCGCGACCGTCAAACGAGAGACTATGGGGAATCGAGGGGTCATGGTCGTGGTGGGCGAAGAATGGCAAAGGAGGAGAAATAAGTTCGTAGGACCAAGAACGAGTCGATCGAGCTTCCCCCACTCGGCCCTTCCTACCTTCGCTCAGGGCATCCAGCGGGTGCACTGGACTGGCTGCATTCTGGCTCGGCTGGTACTACAAATTGCAGGGGGTCCATAGTGAAATTGTGCGCGCTCTCCATTGCACGTGATGCCATACTGAAAGCCGGGCCGGGGGCAGGGCCTGGTGGTGGCAGTGAGTGAGTGGGTGGGAAGCTAGGCGCTAGGCTATAGTAGAGTAATAGTTAGTACGTCTTCCTACTACGCTTAGTCGCTTGTAGTTAGCGGAAGTAAGTGTAACGCGGAAGTAAGTATAACGTAAACCGAAAATTACTATTAGCTAGTAAATACTATATAAACTATATCTTAATAAAATAACTTAATTATACTTATATATTTAAAGTTTCTTTAAAATAATATTATATTTATATATCTTTTACTTATTTCTATTTCTCGAACCTATAAATACTTTACTACTATAGTTTATAGATCTATTTAAACGTAGTCGAACCTAGAATAAATATACTTATAATCTTTAAAATATTATTAAATAAATATAAGAATAAGAAAGAAATAATAAACCTATAACTATAATATAAATATTTTATATAATTAAAGCGTTTATATAAAGTACTTACTAGCGAATTAATAAAAAGAAACTTAATAAGAATAATAGATATAATATATATAGTAGAAATAATAAGGTTTTAACTAATATATAAGAAAAAGCTATTTAATAATACTATTATAATTAGTAGAAGTAGAGTCTAGAAGTAATACATAATAAAATATTTATATTAATATACTTTCTTAGATTTACTAGTTATAAGAAGCCTTCTTCTAGGTCTTAGTTTACTAAATAGTTAAAATAATAAAAAGTCTTATATATAATTATAACTAAACTAATTATATATATATACCTCGAGATATATATAAAGAATAATATTAAAGAGTAGTTTCTTAAATACTAAGTAAAGCTAGTTCGACTAGATATTTATAAAAGTAAATATACATATAATATAAATAAATCCGAAGTTAGAGTTAAATATATAGAAAGTAAGAATATTATAATTATTTTATATATAAAGAAACTATGTATAATATACTCTAAGAACTATAAGTTAGTTATAGTAATCGAGATAATCTTTATAAATAATAAGAAAACTTCTACTCTATTTATTATAGCGCTAAGTACTAGAGTTATAGAGAATTAGTTTATATAGAAGCTAAATAGCAATATAATAATTTCTTATCCTTTAATTAAATATATTAATAATAAGATTATTATAGAATATACTAATTATTTGATTAAGTAGATAAATACTAGAGCTAATTAACTATAGTAAATACTTCTTTTAAATAGTTATAAGTTTTATTATCTAGATAAGTTTTAAATTAAATTAGCTAACTATTATATTACTATCTTTTATTTCCCTTTATATTTAACTTATATTTTATAGCCTCTGAATATTAGTATTTTTAAACCTTAGAAATACTACTATAAACTTATAATATCTGGAGCCCTTTATAACCTTAAACTCGAACATAGTATCTTTTCTTTTTTTTATGATCTTAAGTAAATTTAAGTTAATATTATAAAGTATTATATAATTATAAATTTATAAAGGAATACTAGCTTACAATTACTAGGTTAGAAGGTAATTAAGTCTAAGATATATAAATATAAAGGTAAGAAGAGAGTATTAGTAAATAATAAAAAGAATTAATAACTACCATTATATTCTACTTTATAGCCTAATAAGTTATTTTATATTACTACGAATATATAATAACTCGATAACTATAATCCTATATAATTTTCTAATAATACTATTTAACTTTATAAGGTTATAATAACAACCATTAGAGTTGTACTATAAAGAAACTACCTTTAAATAGTCGAACTTATTACTATATAGAATAAACTCTAGGAAAACTATAAACGTTAATAATTATCGCGTAAAACTATCTACTAAGGTAAAGTACTATTAGTATTAACTATAAAGATCTTAATAAAAGAGAAGGATTATAAAAAGCGATTAGAATCTTTATATAAAACTACGAATAAACTTAAGATAATAGTTAATAATATAAAGAGAGCTCTCTATATATAAGGTATCTAAGCTTATAAAAACAAGAGAGTACGAAAGTTAGTATAAGGTTAAATAGTTATCGAAGGTTAAATAAGTACTAATATATATACTCTACTACTAATAAACGTTCTAATATATAATTCTAAGAAGATACTAAGTTCTATAAAGTTATATAAATTAATAGAGGAATATTATAAGACTCTATTATAAACGGTTTAAGTAAGGATTAACTCTAACTAGAAGACCTAGATAATATTAATAATAATCTAGTTATTATTTATATTAGAGGGGTAATTAACCTTATACTGTCTTATTTTATAAAACTTAAAATAAATATATTAGATTAGAAGAATATATCTTTAATTAACTTAATTAGAGTAAATATAAAATTTTAGTAGAATATTTATAAAAATATATACTTTATATACTTTTAAGAAATATAGGTTAGAAGTTAGTTAATAATTAGTACGTTTTCCTATAATACTATTACTTATAGTTAGCGGAAGTAAGTAAAGTATAGAAGTAAGTAAAGTATTAATATAAAGCTTCTTCGAAATATTAATTTACTATATAAACTACTACTAAAATTATATATAGAAGAAGTTAATTTCTAACTAAATCTTATCTTATAGTAATAAAATCTATATTCTTTTAAATTAAGTTAATTAAGGTTATACTTAATTAATCTATTAAATTCGCGGTTCTAAAATAAAATAATAAAGTAAGGTTAAGTTAATTCTTTAATTATCTTCTATATATATATAAACCTTCTTATTATTATTTTTAGTATCTAGGTCCCCTAATTTAAAATAAGCCTTATACTCTTAAACGTTTTATAATAGAGACTTATAATAGCTCTCTTATAATCGAGCTAGCTTAAGTAAATCAAGTACTTTTTTAGAGTTTTAAATTAAAGTTACTAATACTAGTAGAATAATTAAACTAGATATAATTAATTAACATTTCTTAAGATTTTATATCTTTTTATCTTTATATACTCAAACGCTTTATATCTTAAAAAGATTCTTTTTTTTATTAACTACTTTCTCGAGTTTATTTCTTACCTTTTATAGATTTTCTAATTATTCCTTATAATTTTTATCTCTCTTTATAATACGCGCCTATAATATTAATATTACCCTACCTTTATATATACTCTTTTATAATAAACGCTTCCTCTAGTAGTTTTTTTAAGCTTATTTTATATAGTAGCTAGCTCTATAGTTATAAAATAATACTTATATATAATAACCATAGTATCTTTTAATATCGTGACGGTTCTGACCGTCACGAATATATATTAGAATAGTTAGATTAAGAAGTCGGAAAATATAATAGGATCGCGAGCTCTAAGCTAGCTTAGATTAATAGCTATATAATATAATTTATATAAATAAGAAGTTAGATTTAGTAGTAATTTATTATCAACGTTATTTCTAAGAAACTCTTTTTTCTTATATATATTTACTTATCTTCTTCTTAATTACTTTCTAACTTAGTAGTTATATACTAGAGTTCTTCTAAGTATTTTTAATTATACATTACTTTATTATATTATCTTAAATTCTCTTAAGATCGCGAAAGAAAAAGAAAATACTATATTTAAATTTAAGGGTATAAAGGGCTCGAGAAATAGTAAGTTTATAGTAGTACTTCTATAGTCTAAAGATACTAATATTAAGAGGTTATAAGATAAGTTATATATTAAATAAAAGGGGAAATAAAAGAGTATGATATAATTATTTATATATTTAATTTAGAACTTAAAGAGATAATAAGACTCATATTTATCTAAAAGAAGTATTCGCTAGTATTTATGTAGTCTTATATCTAAATATCTAATTAAATAGTTATTATACTCTATAATAATAAAGTTATTAATATATTTAGTAGAAAAGTACGAAGTTACCTTATTACTAGCTAGCTTTATAAAAATCTAATTTTTTATAATCTTATAACTAAGCGCTATTATAAATAAAGATAAGGGTTTCCTAGTATTTATAGTTACTATTTTAACTACTATTACTAACTTATAATTCTTAGGGTTTAAAGTATATGGCTTCTTTAAATATAAAGGAACTATAACTTACTTATTTCTTATATATTTAACTTAAACTCTAGACTTATATATTTAGTATATATTTCCTTTTATAAATATTATATTTATATAGCGCGGCTTAGTAATCTAGGAACTACTTCTTTATATTCTACTTTATATATATAATTAGTTTTATTTTAATTATATAAAGATTAGAATATTACTATTATTTATTTAATAAACTATAAATAAAATAAAATAAACTTTTCTTAAGTTTATTAAAAGTTTTTAATTACTATAAATACTATTAAATAAATAGCTCCTAGACCTTACTTCTACTAATTATAATAGTATTATTTAATAGCTTCTTATTATATATTATTTAAGATTTTATTATTTCTATTATTTCTATTATTCTTATTTAGTTTCTTTATTTTCATTTAACGAATTACTTATTATATAGAATCCCTATTAATATAATATATACGCGCTATATATATAAGAGAATTTTCTTTATTTTCTCCTTATACTTATATAACTATATTATAAAAGTTATATAAATACTTCTCTCGAGTATATATTAAAGAGTTAATATTTAGTAGTATAAGTAAAGAGAAAGGCGAGAAGTAAAAAATATATTTATTTAATATTTTATATAGAAAGTTAAGTCGTTATTTAGAAATATAGTAATAAAGTCTAGATATTTTTTAGTAGTAAAATATGCTTATAGGAGATCTATAGTTTATACTTTACTTACTTCCACTAACTATAAGCGATAGCGCCGTAGAAAGACGTACTAACTATTATAGTTATATATAATTTTTAGGTATAGTTCCGTAGTAATTTAATATCCCGAAGAAACGCTATCCTAACATTACACTTGCTTTCGCGTTACACTTACTTTCGCTAACTATAAGCGACTAAGCGCAGTAGGAAGACGCACTAACTATTAGTAAGGTGGCTCAGGGTGGCTGCGGTTGGTGGGCAGCAGCGGGCTAGCGTTGAACATCTTGCTGGCAGCACACTACACCACGATTGAATTGGAACATCACCGACCATCCCATCAACACCACAAAATTGCCCCCCCTCCGCATCTTGGCTGCCATTGACCATCTCAAATTGCATCCTCTTTCGCTTGGATACTGCTCATCGTCGATCCCGTCCGCGAGTCGTTGTGCTTGTCGCTCTCTCCCACGGTGCGGTCCACAATCCACAGCCCACCACTTTATCTTGCCTGCGGCGTCATTTGGAGTGCTGAGCAATCGGCGAATACTGTACGTCCTCAACCACCTCGCCCTGAACCAGCGACCCCTCGATTTTGTGGGCCTCCGTGACGCTGGGAGCAGGGGGTATCACAACACATGTAAAAGGGGCTGTTGCAGGACTCTGGCTGATTTGCGATTTGCAGAAAAAGATAGGGGAGAAGGAAATTCATTCTTGATTGTGTGGTGGTCCAAATATCGAGATTCGAGCTGCTCCATCCAGCACCAGCTTCCCCTCATTTTGAAAAGCGTGTGAGAGTCTGTGGGCGGGCAACTCGGCCATGTCCATGTCTGTGATGGGTACGCCGACTCCCATTTCCTGTCCGCCACATTGAAGCCACGTTGGCGAATATATTCTTGTAAATTCGGAACGTGTGGTGAAGAGATATAGATGAACCTGATTGTCCATGGAATGGTGGCTGACTCTGATATCCGGTACCATTATAGGCTACTCTCCCGAATCACCAAGAGACATGTCCCCCGATACTAGCTCCCCCTTTCCAGACCGGCCAATTCGGCCAATGCCTAAGAGACGTCTCCGTGAAAGACTCTCTCCAGATGTAGCTGATTCCATCAGATACCCCCCGGCACCGAAAACTACCACTCCCCTCTTCTACCACCCTTACAACGCGCGAGAGGATGTTGGAGTAAAAGGAGTTGCGGAATCTCAACATCCAAGTGAGAGAGAGAGAGCGGAGGAAATGGAACGTGGCTATATCACTAGGAAGTGCGGTGACGAGCTTGATAGCGATGAGGATGATGCAGCGTATAGGAGTCGAATCCATTCAAGACATTCGGAGACCACGGCTGGCAGATCATACCGATACGTACAAAAACCAGAAAACAAGAATCCAAACCCCCAGGCTCCGGCCTCCAATGCCTCTTCGGCGGATAGTTATGACTCTTTCGAAAATACAAACAACAAGAAAAAGAGAAAGATTCCAACACCTGGAGATACAGCGTTAAATGGAGGTCATTTGTCAAGTGATATGACTGGCGTGGGAGCTTCTGATGATATACCCGAAGATCCAACTTGGCAAAGCCTCGGAACTGTGGCTGTCTCTTCTCATGGTCTTTCTGGCCCAGGACGAGGCAGGTACGGCCGTATCCGAAATGGAAGGAGCCCTCTTAGGACTTTGTCTGATCCAAATTGGGGCAACGGTCGAACCTCAAAACAACGTCAGTTACATATGCCTCAACGAAAGTTGAACCTCATTTCAGATGCTAATACGCATAAAGCGGATACCCCAGGCATCATCACTCATGCTATCGCCAATGCAAATGCAAACAAGAATTCCATTAACCCCGCCAGAGGGCAAGAAAATTCCAGCTTGCTACAACAAGCTGCCAAGAAACCTGCTACAGCCTCGACTCAGTTCACTTTTACCTGCAACTCACAAGTACCAAGTTATCCGGGTCCACCCACTCCTACTTCCATCCATCAAACTCCAAACTCGCGGATGAGCACGCACGCTACACAAACAAGTCCCAATATGTCAGCAATGGTCACAGCTCAGGCAGTTGAACGATCCAAACAAAACATGGCTGCAGCTCAACTTCAAAAACAACCCCAATCTCAACCTGCGCCAGCCAAGAAGAATCGCCGCCGAACTGGCAAAGAGTACTTGATTGCTGCTCGTCAACGACGACAACAACAAGAGTTCAAAAATTATCACCACCCCCCTCCCGCCGAAGACGTTTGGATTTGCGAATTCTGTGAATACGAACGCATATTTGGCACCCTACCAGAGGCTTTGATCAAGCAATACGAGATTAAGGATAGGCGTATTAGGAAACAAGAGGCAGAAAGAAGAAGATTGTTGGAAAAAGCAAAGATGAAGGGACGCAAAGGAAAGAAAGGAAACAAGGGCTCTGCGAAGAATGCGTCTGCGACTCAAGATCGCCAAACTTCGAACCAGCATGCTCCTCAGTCTGCACCCATGAATGCGAATTCCAATCATAGTCAAAGCCAAGGCACCCAGAGCGAAGGATACTATGAGAATGATTATGAACATGACGATAGCCAACCCGAGGAGTATGTTGAAGTTGCGCAACCGCCACCACCTCCATCTCCAACTGGTCCACTCAAGCGTCGAGGTGAAGCTGTTCATTCAGATCATGGAAAACATCGCTTTGTCAATAGTGCAATACCGGTGTCTTGAGGGTTTTTGGGCGTTTTGTCACGGCCTATTAAAGCTGAAGTTATCTGTCGGTTCTTCTCAAAGCAAGCATTTTCTTCAACAAGAAATGCCCTCTCGGCTGCAACCTTCCGACCCGATGCCTCACCTTTCTGGCTAGCTTTTCTTTTCCTACGTCATTTCAGAATATTACGAGCATTGCGTAGAGCGTTTCTCAGGCATCAGGATGCATTGTGACACCACCTTGCACCAAACATCCCACTTCCCCTGCACATTCCTCTTGAAGTTGCTTTCTTTCTTGCATCACCCCTCTCACAAAAAAACATACATTGATTCGGCCGAAATAGAAAATTTTATCGGCCAGCGCTCTGTGTTTATTTAATCTACCTACCGCCTCTATTTTTTGGCGATAGGTTGAAGGATTACTGGAAACCCAAATTCTCTCAGTATTTGGACTTGGAGCTGTACATTCACGCACTCTTGGTAGCGGTAGCTGGTTCTAGTAGCTAGTTACTCCACCCAGCAATAGAATAGCATTCTCACCAAGTCTTGCATGAATTACTAATGATTCGTTTTGGTGATTGGTCGTCGTGAATAACAGGCAGGTGTATTTCTACATTCCATCTAGTGGTCATGTTTCTCCAGACCTTGTTTAGGTAATCTCTATATACTCGAGTAGCAGAATAAGATCCTTTCATTCTACACTCACCTCATTCGTCTATCTCAACCCTGTCCCCGACCAACCCAACAGAGTACATGATGAGGGGTAGGTGGTAGTAACAGACCCGTAACGACAGGAACAACATGCTCTAGCAAGGATTCGAGTCCCACTGTAACTAGGTACCGAGTCCCCTCTCGAGTCTCGACGAACACATCCGTCCAACAGCCGTGGCGAGGTGATAGGTAAGCGACGGGATGTCCCGTCTCTGCCGTGTGGTGTTGGTTTTGCTTTTTTGGGTCTAGTACTGTACATGTATGTCAGCTTGCAAGAGTGGAGGTATCGTGGGGGTCTGATTTGGTTTGTGATTTTTGTCGCGTTGGGTGATGGGAGAGAGTGGGTGAGTTTTTGAATATTTGTTCTTTTGCTTTGCTCGGATAGTGTTTTCATACATACCTTTGAGCTGTAAACGGCCGTGTTTCGAGGTTTATATACAAATACCTTTGAGAGATCGAATTGAGTTTCACTCTGCATGTCCCTTGCAGATCACTATTCTTGAAGAGGGGAAAGCACGAGTAAGGTCCTGTACCCTTTCGGTTGTGCGACTTTCACGGAGTGCCATGAGTTCTGGGGCGTCTTCCTCGTCGGCTGGTTCGACGAGCTCTGCGGGTGGGGATGAGGGAGATAGACAGGTTGTTGTGCAACGACCCGATGGACTCGTTTCTTGGGGCGAGGGGAGTGCGCCGAGTATTCCTAGTGTGGATGATGAGAATGAATCTGTAAGGTCTTGTGTGTTTTTCTTTCTTCGCCTCTGTTTTGTGTTGTTGAGATGGGAGGGGGTTGGGGTTTGTGGGTGGTGTGGGTGGCAGAGGGTTGGGAGGATGTGTGGATGTGTAGATTGATGGGGTGGAATGGGATGTGATGGGATACATGTTAATTGGAAATAGGGAGATAATGATTCGGCGATCGGGGGGATGAGTGTCGTGTAAGTTGTTTATTGTTGTTGGTAGGAACTGAGAGGGAAGAAGGAGGAAGGAAAGAAAAGAAAGCGAGACTGATAATGGACTCCAGCACGAGTACGCAGAGTTTGAGGAGTAGTATTTATGAGGATGTGGAGGAGAATGGGAGGACGTACCATCGTTTCAAGGAGGGCAGTAAGTTCTTGCCCACCACCTCGCCCTGTTTTGGTATGGAGATCTTTGGGGAAAAGGGCTAACGATTGAGGATGACAGAATATCCATTACCGAATGATGCGGTTAGTACTTGATCAGATGAGTTTTTATAAGTGAGGGTTTGACTGACTTTTATCTTGGTATGCAGCAAGAACAAGAGAGATTAGGTAAGTCTTTTCAGTCGAGAATAGTAGGACTCGGAACTGAGAGCTAAGTGAAATAGATCTTCAGCATGCATTATTTGGTGTTACGCTCGAGGGGAAGCTGCATCTTGCGCCAATTGCGGATGGGATTGAGAATTGTCTTGATATTGCTACCGGTATTTATTTCGCACTATAGGGTGTATCTCTAAGTTTTCGATGGTTTTGACAAGCGATTAGGGACTGGTATATGGGCGATTGAATTCGGTAAAGCTCCATATCAAATGCATATTCGGATTCATGGGAACTAATATTGTGGTTGTAGCCGAGAAATATCCAAAATGCAAGGTTCTAGGGACGGATCTTAGTGCTATTCAACCGCTGTAGTAAGTTTGTATCCGTCTTTATAAGGGCTTCTGGTGAAAATCATCCATTTTACTGCTCTTCACCTCCGATACAAGTATCGGGAGGGTTTCGCTGATATATGGAAATTAAGTGTTCCGCCTAACCTCCGGTTCGAGATCGATGACGCAGAAGATGAATGGATATTCTCGGAGAGATTCGATTTTATCCATGGACGAGCTTTATTGTCTTGTTTTAAGGATCCATCATTTGTTAGTAAGTTACGTTCCACTCGTTTGCTTTTCGACATTTAGTTTCCTTCCCATAAATCAAAACTCCCCTCGCTTCACCCAACCCAAACTCACAACCCCAGTCCAACAAGCCTTCAACACCCTAAAGCCAGGCTCCTACCTCGAACTCCAAGACGGCACCTTCCCCTTCAAATACATCGGCCCACCACCCCTCGACTCGGCAATCTACAATTGGAACCAACTCGTCGTGGCCGGGGCCGCTGCCTCGGGTCGACCATGGACCAACGTCGCCCATTACGCCCGCTGGATGCAAGAAATCGGCTTCGTCGACATCGAAGAGAAACAGTTTTACTGGCCCACCAGCGCCTGGCCGAAGGGCGAGTACTTCAAGCAAGTCGCGGCGTATTGGCAAGCGGACTTCTTGAATGGGATTGAGGGCATTAGTCTGAAGGTTATGGGGAAGTTGGGGTGGGATGCCGAGGAGATTAGGGTGTTTTGTGAGAAGGTTAGGGGGGATGTTAGGGATGTGGGGATTAAGGCTTATTTGCCTATGTGAGTTTTTCTGTTTGCTTTGCTGTTTATATACTGCCACTTCTGGTTTTCAAGAGTGGGATTGATGAGATGCTTTGTGCGTATGTATGGCGAGAGAGTTGGACTAATACTTCTTCTTACAGAACTGTGGTTTATGGGAGGAAACCCTTTGAGGACAAGACTACACCAGTGGCGAGTACTGAGTCTGTAGCTGAGAGTGTTTGACGTTGTTTTATCTCGGGGCATTATAATCTCAAGTCTTTTTTTGAAATATGCTTAAACCACAGGAAATGAGGGCTAGATGGAAGACTTAGTAGAAGCAAATCCATAAAGATATATTTAGGCTGCTAAGCAATCAACACGCGGCTGACCCGGGCAAATAGATCATTACACTTAACTCCTCCATCGCTCCCAGACCGCTTTACAAGTGGTCGGATCAGACATTCTTTCGTGGATAGTGGCCTGTGGGATTCTCTTGGGCTAGTGAGCTGTAAAAGTGCCGCGAATTGTGCATCTAGCCTTTTGATCTGGACAGGGATTATACTGATATTCTTGTCCAGGAGAATCAATGCATGAATCAACGATATGAACTAATACCACCAGGTTGTCTATAAAGGGTCACTAGGTTTGGATCTGGGATTGATGCAAGAGGCTTAGTTATTGCTCTACGTGTATTATCAATAGTCTTTATACTCAGCGTCTAGCATAAGTAATTGGCTTTTTAAAATATACTTGACAGATGCTAAACGTGCAGATTGTTTCGAATCATCTATAAACAGGTTGTTTTTACAAGGCTTTTAGGATTGTGATATCTGAATGCTGGCACAGAGATACGGTATGAAAAGATGCCAACAGTAAAAGCAAATAACAGTTCAAAGCGTAATATAATATTCAACGGGTGTCTTCCACAACAGTAAAGGATTGGAAGTGTGCGAGTACCCAAAGTAGTCTCACAAAGTAGCGCTACGCTACACGTGGTTGGTCTTTTGAAAGTGTGTGGAATGTATTGCAAAATAACTTTTTCCATTATTAATGGCAATAGCCACGTATAACGATAAGCGGGTGTTATCTTGCTGACTGTTGGTTCACTTCGTTGGCGACAGTTGCACAGCGGCACAACATATGCATAGCGCTGACCATGACATTAGCCGAGCTTATATATGGCATCCAGCTGCGTCCACTGGAATCGTATTATATTATGTCACTTACTTGGCAAGATAATAGCAAGAGAACTATGAAAGAGACTTGTAAAAAGTGGTGGTGTGATAGTTAATGCCTTGTTTTGCTGACAATATCATCGGCGAAGATAATATAAGCTTCTTTCCGAAGGGGGGTGCCACTAGTGGCGGAGCAGAGTTCCAGGGTCGTTGTATGGTAGCTACCACCACGGATGCTAGCTATATTATTATTATTATTATTATTATTCCTTTTAACGTGCTGTGTGAGTCTGAGACTATAGTAGCACGGCTGGGGGTTTCCCTCCA